TACTGGGACTCCCTAGAATTATTCTTATGCAAAAAAACAGATAAACTCCCAGAATACTACCTATATGATTATTAGATTGAGCTAATCCCTAGGGTAAAACCCACCTATAGACTATTATACATAATATCCCACTATAAGCTACTGGCCCTGCATAAGTATCTGACCAAAAACCTCGCCAAAGGATTTATCCGACCTAGTTTGTCACCTATATCTTCCTTAATAATCTTTATAAGGAAACCAGGAGATAGCCTTTAGTTCTGTATTGACTACTGAAAACTCAATAAAATCATAGTTAAAAACCGCTACCTAATCCCTTTGATTTAAGAAATATTGAACCACTTTAGCAAAGCTAAATACTTTATAAAACTGGATATTATTTTAGCTTTTAACTAAATCCAAATTGCACCTGGCTATAAGTACTTAACGGCTTTCCGCACTCATAAAGGCCTATTTAAGTACTTAGTAATATCCTTTAGTCTAGCTAATACCCCTAGTATATTCTAATACTATGTAAATAATGTCCTGTACCTGTTCCTAGACACCTTCTGCACTATATATATTAATAATATCCTTATATATAGCAATAGTTTAAAGGAACATAAGGAACATGTGCGACTAATGCTAAAGGCACTAGAGACTATAGGCCTCCAGCTTGATATTAATAAGTATAAGTTCCATTAATAAGAGGTGAAATACCTGGGCCTGATCCTGACTGTAAACAGTATTAAAATGGATCCTAAGAAAGTCTCTGCTATCCTAGACTAGGAAGCCCCCCAGAATGTTAAGGATATTTATAGGTTCCTAGGCTTTGCAAACTTTTACCATTATTTTATTAATAATTTCTTAATACTAGCTACCCCGCTTACCTAGCTTACTTAAAAGGATGTCCCCTTCCTTTAGATAACTACCTGCCAGAAGGCCTTCAACTACTTGAAGACGGCCTTTACTATAGCACCTATCTTGCAATACTTTAACCCCTTACTACCCTATATAGTGGAGGCAGACTCCTCCAACTACTACTTAGGAGGGGTACTATTATAAGAGGATAGTGAAGGAGTCCTTCGCCCTATCGCTTACTTCTCAAAAAGACTGAGCCCAGCTGAATATAACTATAAAATTTATAATAAGGAGTTACTAGCTATTATTTAATACTTTAAATAGTAGTAACCTAAACTAGAAAGAGTAGTATATCCTATAAAGGTACTAAGTAACTATAAGAACCTACAATACTTCTACACTATAAAACAGCTTAACTATAGATAAGCTTAATAGTTAGAGTACTTATCACACTTTGACTTCAGAATTATGTACTAACTAGGTGCCTAGGGCCAAAAGCCCGACACCCTAATATGACACTCTCAGAACCAGCCTGCTTAAGAGGAGGCCCGCCATTTTCGTTAGTAAACACTACTGCGACCAGAAATCTTCAACTTTAGGCTAATAGAGACAGACCGGTTAATTAAGTAAATTATTAAGGAGGAGTATACTAATAATGAATTCATTACTAAGGTCTGTTACTAACTTAGTAAGGGCAAGTATAAATCAAAACTGATTACTCTGGCCAAGTGCGAGGTTATTAATAACCACCTATATTATAGAGGCTGAATAGTGGTCCCTGATAATAATAAACTGAAGATTAAACTACTCTAATATATATATAACTCTCCTATTAGGGGCTACCCTGGTTATTCCTAGACTCTGGAACTTCTATCACGCCATTATTATTGGCCAAAGATACATAAATCAGTAAGATATTTTATAGCCTCCTATCACATCTGCTCATAAGCAAAAGCCTAGAGGACTACCTATACCGGTGTACTGAAGCCCCTGCCTGTACCTAAACGGTGCTAGCATGATATTTTAGTTAACTTTATAGTTAAATTACCTGTATCTAACAGTAACATAAACATTATGGTGGTAGTAGATTGCCTGTCTAAATAGTGACACTTTATTAGATATTCTAAGATTTTAGCGCCTGCAGTCGCCCAACTATTCCTCTATTATATATGGAAACTCTATAACTTATTAGATATGATTATATCAGACTGGGGAAGTACATTTATATTACTCTTTTGGAGATATCTGTGCAAATACCTCTATATTAATACCTACCTATCAACTGCCTACCATCCTAAAACAGACGGCCAAACTGAACGCGCAAATAGGGAAATAGAGCAGTACCTCTGAAGCTTTATAGACTATATATAAGATGATTGGGATAACTAGCTACTTATAGTAGAATTTACTACTAATAATAGCCAAAATAAGACAACTGGAACAACACCGTTCCTGGCAAATACTGGCCAGTACCCGCGAATGGGTTTTGAGCCACCCTTTAACAGCCTATAGTCTCTAATAGTTAGCAATATTAACCGCTTTATAAGCCGGATGCATGAACTGAACCGACACTTATATAATAAAATAGCTTAGGCCTAGGCTGTCTATACTAAAAAGGCTAATCATAATAAGTAAATAGGATCTAACTACCAGGTAGGCGATCAGGTTTGGCTGAACTTAAAGAATATATATAGCTACTACCTAACTAAGAAACTGGACTGGAAGAATGCGGGCCTGTACAAGATTAAAAAAAAAGTGTCACCCTATATATATAAATTAAAGCTACCCAGCTCAGTATATATATAGCCTATAATTAATATATCAAACCTGATACCATTAATTAGCTATAAACTGCTGCCCGGCCAGCAGCAGGAGCCGCCACCCCTAATTGAGATTGATGGAGAAGATGAATACCTGGTTAAATAGATCCTGGATGCATGAATCCGCTGCCGCTAACTACAGTTCCTGGTTAAATAGTATAGATATGATAATTCAGATAATAATACCTAGGAACCTAAGGATGCTCTACTTAAAATAGCAGCTCTTACTAAATATAAAGCATAAAATATATCCTATATTAAATAACTATAATGTAAGCTCTAAGACTATAATAGCCTAACCTGAACCTGAATAACTAAGCCTAAATACCTGAACCTAAATAACTGAACTTAAGCACCTGAATCTGAACAACTAAGCCCAAATACCTGAATCTGAGTAACTGAACTTAAGCGCCCGAATTTGAACAACCGGGCCTGAACACCTGAACCAGAATATCTGATGATCTGGACCCGAACACCTGAGCTCGAACTCCCGGAACTCCCTCCCCAGGCCCCTCTCTGGAGGCTTTGCCGGCTAGGAGGGGGGTACTATTATAGGGTTACCCCTATAACACATAATTAGCACTATTCTGTTATCTATCTAATTAAAGTAGTACTAATATCAGTTAATATAACCTAATATAACCTAATATTACCTAACATTGGCCAACTGGACTCCTAAACTAAACTGACTTCCTAATTTGATTTCACTGTGCGCGTACCCAAATCCTAATTAGGAAAGGTGTAATAAGGCTCCCTTTATATTCTTAGTAAGAACTACTTTTGGGCCTTCCCTTCTTTATGCAATGTCTTGATTATTGTACGATACTTTAGTACAGCACAACTGAATAGATAGTTGATAGCCTCATCAGTTTACCTCACGTGATAACTTGAGCAGATCACTTCTAGTGGTTCCGTGACAGTTATCTAGGCTTCTAAAAAGGTAAGGTATACTTTAAAGTCAGCTATAGTTTAGCCTTTCCTTTAGATTACTTAAGTATATATTATATAAATACTTAGTTTATGATTTTCTAGATCTTTAAGTTTATCAAATAGGAATATTATAAGTTCTTCCTATATACTTAGCTTATCTTCTTTATTTCTGGTATAATTAGACTAAGTTATCCTTAAGAAGCTTATAAGAAATTATTAGGCCTAGGTAACCTGAACACTTTCTTATATAAATCTCTTAAGTATTAATTAGAATATATTTATAATATAGTTAATCTAGTTAATATACTCCTATAGTATTTTTCCTTTATATTCTAGAAGGTTCTTTAGGTGGATGTCCTTCCCTTAAAGTAGAGTGCTTAGTAGTATTAATTTAGGGGTTTTAATACTAGTATTTTTTAATTAACTATCTTTAATAATAGTAAAGGTATTATAAATTAATTACTTTTTAATTATAGTTTCTATTTATACTACTCTCTCTTTTAACTCTTTAAGTTAGATCTTTCTTTAAAGGTCTGCTTCTCTTTTCTTTAGTTCCCTAATTTACTTATTAATTAATAGTATTAATAATAAAAATTTTAATTTAATAATAAGTATAGAAATACTATTATTATATAATTATTTTAATATCCTGATATCAGGCCTATACCTTTATTTTAGTAAAGAGTTATCAGAATTATAAGGGGTAAATATAAGTATGATATCAGGATAAGGAGTAATAAATATAGATTAGTATTAAAACTAATAATTAAGGAGTAAAACTAAGGTGGATACTATATATAGCTTAAATACTGTTTCCCCCTGGAGCTCGTGACCCGCGGCCTAAGCGCAGCTGTACCGTGCGTATGTTCCTACTCCGTTCCTCACATAGGTAGTGGTTATATATATTCTTTAAGTTCAGCCAAACCTAATCACCTACCTAGTAGTTAGATCCTATTTATCTATTATAATTAGCCTTTTCAGTATAAACAGCCTAGGCCTAGGCTATTTTATTATATAAGTGTTGGTTTAGTTTATATATCTAGCTTATAAAGTAGTTAATATTACTAACTATTAGAGACTATAGGCTATTAAAGGGTGGCTCAAAACCTATTTATAGGTGCTGGCCAGTATTTACCAGGAATAGTATTATTCCTATTATCTTATTTTAGCTATTATTAGTAGTAAATTCTGCTATAGGTAACTAGTTATCCTAATTATCTTATATATAGTTTATAAAGCTATAGAGATACTACTCTATTTCCCTATTTATACATTTAGTTTGGCCATCTGTTTTAGGGTAGTAGATAGTTAATAGGCGGGCATTAATACAGAGGTATTTGCATAGGTATCTCTAAAAGAGTAATATAAATATGCTTCCCTAATCTGATATAATTATATCTGGTAAACTATAGAGTTGTTAGGAATACTTTCCTGATACCGACTAGCTTCACTAATGTAAGCCACTTCGGAAGGGTTTAGCTTCCTAGAGCAGAGGAACAATGTATAACAAGAGCTTATTGTGGAAGGAATACAATAAGATAGTTATGTTTATGACTTAGAATAGTCTGAGCTTCAAGAGTATGAGAATGTATTCAAACTAACTACTAGGTAAACTAGACAGTTGAATCACAAAGAGGTGTAATGCCAGTAGGGACAGGATGTTTATATAGACCTTTGTTCCAGTGTCCTTGTTGCCTGATTCTCAGCGATCATTCTGATCATGAATGATCAGACTGATCACTAACTGCATTCCTGATTCGTTCAATCCTTCTGAGCGAATCACAACCTTTCGCTTATGCAGACTGATCACCTCGATCATGAATGATCAACATGATCGCTCTCCCTTTACGTGATCACCATGTTACCTTGTAACATCATTCCCCTCCTTACTAAGCTTGTCCCAAGCTTAGGCTAGTGCTTAAATAGTTATAGGAGTCCCGCTTTTTCTTATTCAAAGATGGCCTCCATTCCCTCTCTAAGGCGCAAACGACTTTTTTCTGAGATCGAGGGCCTAGGGGATATCGCGACCCAAGCTTGCTTCGACTGTTTCAAGAGCGGTTATACCTGTGTTGTCATGTCTTCCTCGAAAGGAGCTAGGTGTGCAAACTGCACCCGAAAAGGAATTCCTTGTGTTGGCCAATCTTGGGAGTCCTTAGACAAAACGAGAGAGAAAACCAAGTCCGCAATAAACGAAGATTTGAAACGGTTAGAGAAAGTCAGTGCCGAGCTTGCTGAGATACAAAGCCGATTGTCGCGTAATCGAGTACTTTTAGAGTTTGCCGAGAAAAGAGCGAAAGAAAAGGCAATCTGTCTTATGGAAGAACTTGAACAAGAAGAAGAGGAAGAAAGAGCCCGTAATGGTGGTCTGACAGATGGTGAGCTCCGAGAGCTAGCGGATAATCTCGCCGTTTTCACTCAGGCTGTCGGAAACCAAGAGGTTTTGAGTGCATCGGATTCTCACGATGGTATCGTGATAACTCAAACGGACAGTTGAGGTTTTTGTACGGTTCCCAAGTGTTTTCTTCCTGTGGGTATCCTTTCCATTTTATGAGGTAGAAGTGTTGACGTCTTCTGACCTGGTGGTCTAGGATCTTCTCAACCTCGTATTCCTGCTCGGTAGGGTCTTCTAATTCGGTTTCCTTATTGAGGGGAGTCTCCGGATCCGCTTTCTCCAGTAATGACATATGAAAGATAGGGTGTATCTTTATGCTCTTAGGTAGTTGCAGTTCATAATTTACTGGTCCTATGATCCTTTTGACTTTAAATGGTCCGATTTTAAGAAAATCAAGTTTACTATTTTGGCGCTTGGTGCGAATGTTTCGTCGCCAAAGGTAAACTTTATCCCCCTCCTTAAGGTCTGGTCCCTCAGACCTTTTTCGATTTGTCTGAGAGATCATTCTTTT